CCATTAAGAACACTCATTTGAAAGGTTTTGAGGAAGAACCTTTACTTTTCATCTTATGGCCTAGTAATGTAAAGCCAAACATGCAGTATCAACAAAACCCTGCAGTCTGTTTTGGAGGAAACTTGAGTTCATCTGATATCAGCTTCATAACTAGAAGTTGTGTGTGTTACAGAAATATTCAAGCCAATCCATTGAGTGTATAAAAGTCTACCCTACACTAGGTAAACACGAGTCTATTCACCATGATATTGCTTTCCGCTGTCCCACAGCAAACTGCAGGCAGTTGAGATTCATCCCCGGTGTGATGACACAAGAGGTCATCCAAACCCTCCAGCTTGTTTGCACGCCTACCTGGTTTTAGAGTGGGGGAGTCGGTAAACGGGTAAAAACGCTACAAATAGAATCCAGCCACTTAAGATTATAGTCTTGAGGGAGGGCGGCCTGCTCCCGGGTCTGCGTCAGCACTGACCTTTTTGCTGTTTGCTAAAGGGATTTGATTTCACCCCTTACTCGCTCGCTTTCCCTCTTTTTTCAACATTCACACTTTGGCCATCTGAGAGGTATAAAATGAAAGTTTTGTGCAGGAAGGCGAAGCTGTGGTGGTTTATTCATGGGCCAAGTGATAGCTCACCAACGATAAGCCCATTCCAGCAAGAAATGTGCGGCATTTCTTTGAGGGAAGTTATTGGAGGTTTTGGATCCTGCCAGACACCTCATTTAGCAAGCATGCACATTTGTACATGTGCATGCATTCACACACAGACACACACACACAATCACACACGGTCCCACACATTTTAGAGGGAAGTCAGAGGTCAGGATAAAACTCAAACATTGCCTGACTGACTTGCTGATGTTGCAGTTCAACAGCACAGAAAGTTGCTAAATATCCTCAACCCACTGAAATATGCATCTAGGTTTATGACCACCCCTGCTATGAACCATTGCTAAAAACATATTTACACTCATCCCTCGCCTGGTTGCTGACAAACTATAAATACCCTACCTGTGAGGTGGACACTGACCTCAATGCCTCTCACTTTCTACTATTCATTGTGAACTCAAATGGAGAGCCCTCATGAGCCCACAGCGCCCTCCGCTGGTGTGATACAACCAGTACCTTCACTGCCTTTTAATCCTGTTAAACACTGAAGAAGGCAAATAAATGATGGTTAAAGTTCAGGTCGAGATGAACACTTAAAATGTGAAGAAGGGGAAATGAGCCACAGGTCAGATTTGAACCAGGGCGACCCGCTTAGAGGACTATAGCCTACATATATGGGGCGCTAGGCTGGTGGCACCACTGAAAAGCTCTGTGTTTTTAAGCCTCTTACAGGAGAGCTGCTATAAGAGAGGTAAAACCAACATGTGTACCTCCATTAAACACCGCTCACTGTCCAAAAAAACAGTTACCGTATTTTCCGCACTATAAGGCGCACCGGATTATAAGGCGCACCTTCAATGAATGGCCTATTTTAGAACTGTTTTCATATATAGGGCGCACCGGATTATAAGGCGCATAGAATAGAAGATACTGCAGTCAAACGTTTGACTGGGGTGCGTTATGCATCCACTAGATGAAGCTGTGCTAAAGGGAATGTCAACAAAACAGTCAGATAAAGTCAAACTTTATTAAGCGTTCTGACAACTCCGTTCACTCCCATGGTAACGATGTTCAAACGTTAATGTGCATATTAACAATATCTCCCAGCCTTGTTCACTCTTCTCCCAAACGTGGAGGGGAACTTTTCCCTGATTCAGTAAACACGTAACAGAAACAGTCTGATACCACTAAATCAAACGTTAGTGCATTCACAATATAGTAACTCTCGAAATTGTTATTGTGCATTCACAATAACTCAACGTTGTTCAAACTTTAATGTGCATATTCACAATATCTCCCAGCCTTGTTCAGTTGTAAACACGTAAAAGAAACATAGTCTGATACCGCTAATTCAAACGTTAGTGCATAACTCAACATTGTTCAGTTACGTATAACACGTAAAGCTCACTTTTTCAGTTCATTCCCCGTCCACGAATCCCTCGAATTCTTCTTCTTCAGTGTCCGAATTGAACAGTTGGGCGAGTACGGCATCCAACATGCCCAGCTCCCTCTCGTCATTATCTGAGTCAGTGTCGCTGAGCGCCGTGTACAACCAGTATGGATCAACCAATTAACCAATTGATCCATATATAAGGCGCTCAGGATTATAAGGCGCACTGTCGTTTTTTTGATAAAATGAAAGGCTTTTAAGTGCGCCTTATAGTGCGGAAAATACGGTATATTGTGTAGGTATCCAGTGTGGCGTCTGAGTCTGTGAGATTATCTGATATCAGGACAAACTGTGTAGAGATGGGAGAGGGGGGGTCTGCAGGTTAAACATGAGACATGTTTGCGTCCACTTCTTTACAATCTAGAGGCCTGTTGCACCAGTCTGTGTAAATTTACACTGAACCCTACGTGTGAACTAGTCAGGTTTTAACTTCAGTCGTGTCATTGTTTGGTTACCATGGAGACAAGAGGTTCACCTTAACTCGAGGAGCAATGTTGATCAGTAGAAGTATTTTTTCTTAATGTAGTGTTTGTTTGTTTGTTTGTTGCAGTGTTTCCTCTGATCGGACTAATGGTTGAAAATAACCTCACTCATCTACTGTAAATAAACAAACAGTGAGGGAAACATAAAACATGACAAAGCAGTATGATACACTGAAAACTCAAAGTCTCCATGAAACAGGACTTCAAGATTACCTCAGTGTTGTGTCATGACGTATTTCCTGCTGAAACAAGATAGAAGGCGGGACATAATGATGTGATTAATTTGATTGGATCGTAATTTTCGACAAGCTTTTTATTTGGTTTAAAATTAGTGAACGCCCGAGTTCAGAATGAATCATGAGACATTTAAAATGTTTTAAGGGAAGAGAAAAGTGTTACAGTGTTTTCCCCCCTTCAGGGATGCTTCATGGATGATTGTGAAAACAAAAGTTTCCCTGCATCCTCCATCAAATTAATGGGATTGTTGTCACACACTGTTCTCAATTACAAACTTGTCTTGTGGTTATTGCTAAACACTTTCAAACTAACACAAATGGGAGCGTGTTGAGCCAAAAATTCTGCAGAGCTTAAGGGAAAGTTTAGCCAACCTTTTTCAAACTCATAAAAACTAAACAAAGCCCAGCATAGAGATATGGCTGCGGTTCTGGCTGAGCTCAGAGACAGACTGTCCGTCTGTTTAATCAAAGCTAAATTAAGGGAAGATAAGTCAGAGAGGTAAATGAAGTTGGAACTCCCGCACCACAGTGCATCACGTTTTGCCGAAAACCGCCCCCCACTTCATATTATCTACATGTAGAGATTTCTGTAGATGAATTTGTTTTGGCCCATCTAAAATCACATTCGAGCACAGATCCAAAGAGCTTTGTTCCAGCCCTGAAGGACCTCTGAAACACTGAAATCCATTTGGCACTCCTGCCCTGTTGATGAAAAAAACAGGCTCAGAATTATGCCTTTATTTAGAGATAGGACAGTGGGTAGAGTCAGGAGAGAGAGAGAGAGAGAGAGAGAGAGAGAGAGAGAGAGAGAGAGAGTGAAGAGCAGGAAAGGAGCCACAGGTCAGAATTGCTTGGAGCATTATACCCCCGTACATGGGGCGTTCGCACTAACCACTAGGCCACTGTAGCCAATCTGTTTTTCAACATGAAAAATAAATCCATTGATTCATCCAATGTTTTTTGTAGTTTTATATCAAAGTTTTGTAGAAAAAATCAGTGTCACACACTGAATGAGATCCAGCTGAAGTGTGAATAAAATAATCATGAAAAGATCTGAATAAAGACACATGTAGTAACATGCTAGGCTTGAGTGTAATGATGTTTGCCCACAGAACAAGCTGGCACATCCTTCCTGCCCCTCCTGGTGAAATCATTAGATAACTATTATAAACATTTATACGAGATGCCGTTGTGTTCAGTGATATGGTGTAAAAAACAAAGACGGTATAAAACATGGAGGTAGCCTCAGTACACACTGGTTTCAGAAGAAGTTATAAAGGCAAACAGTGATGATCACCATGTTAGAAATGCTGACTCACAGGCAAAGAGGTGGAGATGACTCAGGCCTTAACTCGACGACTTTAGACTAGATCAAATCAAAACAAATTCTCTATAAAATAATTAACCAACATTGTGTACCAATATAGAAATTAACTCTTGATACTAAATGTGTTTTTTAAAACCAGGCTGTAAACGTGTTTATTTCAACATTTTACTGTAACGTGGGACCTTATGGGGATTTTGCAGTCAGCCTCAAGTGGACACTTGAGGAACTGCACTTCTGAATCGGCTTCATTGTGTAATACAGAGGGTTGTTTGGGGGAAAAAGTAAAAAAAAATAAACTCACAACATCATGAATGAAAGAACAAGACAATGTGTAATTCAAAATGTGTGAATCCGTTAAAGTTAAAGAGTTCTTACAAAAGAAGTCTTGAATCCCCGCCCCCTCCATTATTATAAAGGATTATAGTTGTTTCTAATTATTGGCTTTTCTAACGTATTCAAAGGCAGTTTTAACTTCACGGCAAATAACATATCAAAACAGTCTGGGAATATTAACCATAGCTTCTTATTAGTGTCCAATAGAAATGCAACAGGAAGTGTCAAAACATTCAAGCTGTATTTGAGACTCAGTTTGTATTATGTGAGCTGTGTACTACCTTAAAGATTAGAGTTGCATAAGAGTGCTTTTCAAATGATCATTCCCACAAACTGCAAACAAAACATGTTGACTTGTGCTCATTGTTAATTACAGTTCTGTCATTTGCCTTCAGCTGCCATTGTTTACTTTGCTGGAAAGTTTATGTCCAAGGCTGCCAGTGGGTTTCCTTTGCTGGCACAATGTGTGTGTGCACACAAGAGTGTGAGGTGCTGCTTTGCTGAACACAACACTCTACTGCTACCCACAATGCACTGTGGGAAAGGTAACACCCTTTTTTTTTTTCACCTGGAGGAAGTCACGGAAACTACCAGCCTGAAGAGAGCAAAGAAACAAACCAAAGGTTACAGGAGAGAAAACAAAGGGGGATTGGGATCGGATCGTCCTGCTCAGTGTGAGGTGTTTGTTTGTGCTTCAGTCAGTTTGGGATTTTAGAGATTCTTTGGAAACTTTGGTAGATGTTTCAGAGTTTGTTCTCCCACCTCTTGGCATTACAAAGGTGTGAGTGAGAGAACTGGGACGGTCAGAGTGATAGGAGGAACTGCAGGCTTGCTCCATGTAGAGACTCCACCTCTGTTCATATGGTAAATAGAGGGTCACATGGGCCAGCAGTCTTGGAGTAGTGGGGGGAAAAGGGAGGGAAAGTAACAAGGAGAGACACACCGCAGGAATTTGGCCTGCCCCATGTGCAGGAGGCGGCACTCTCACCCTGACTGATTCAGGACGCTGAATCACACAACAAAGAAGAGAGGCATAAAGACAGAAGCAGTAGGTGACATGTTGTGGCCAAAAAGGAATCTTTAGCTTCTCTCACTGCAGCCTTTTACACTTCAGCTTGACCTCCTTTGGATTTCTCTTCCCTGTTGTGGGGTGAAAGTTCAACAACCAGCCACATCCTGTATGTCGTCACTGGATAGTTCTTCATACTTTTAACACACAACTGAAGAGTCAAGATGCCCACAAACTTCACTGTGGTGCCGGTGGACAATGCAGGGGAAGCGGGGAACAGTGCAGCCGCGGCCGAAGAAGGCAAACCTGCCAGTTTGGGAAACATCTTTCAGGAGGAAGCAGAAGAAGAAAACGTTCAAGGACTCAACTCAGGTAGGAATATGTTAAGATTCAAAACCTCTTCTATTGTTTGTATACATACTTATATCCCAGCATGCACCAGCTGAAGCATTGTGTTAAAATGTCTAAATGTGAGAAAGGGTGTGTGTCATTGTATGACTGAACATGTACAATTTAATGTGTGCTGACACAAACAGTGTTATGGTCGGCACGCTCACTACACACACACACACACGCACACGCACACACACACACAAACACACAAATCTTCAGTGTGACGTTGTTCGACTAGCAGGAACTTGCTGGGCAGCTTCATTAGTGTTGGGGTGTGAGTTGTTGTTACCTCACTCTGCTGATAGCAGGTTCTGTATTATCAACCCACAACTTGAAAAGGCAAGAAGTAAAGGATAACATATAGATAATAATAATAATGCTCAGGGAAAATGTCATGTCCATTTTTACTTGATTGTCAGACACTTTAAACTAAAATCTGGTTATTTACAGACCATCTTAAAAGAACTACATGTTAAGTATCTCTAATCCGTGTGCTGTCGTCTACAGACAAATCTGATGGCTGATCTTGCGGTTTCCGCTATAACTGCGGTAAATGGACTTGTATATTTCTTTTCTAGTCTTCTGACTACTCTAAGTGCTTTTTACACAGCATGTCACACCTACACATTCACACACTGATGGTAGAGGCTGAACCGAGAATACCATTTATACACATACATATACCGCTGACAAAGGAACTTGTGGTTAAGTGTCTTGTGTGTGTCAACCAACTGAACCACAGCCGACCCATGTGGTGGCATCTCAGCGTCTGCTGCTGCTGCTTGCTGACTGTGACAGCAGCTTCAATAGTTTGATCAAAAATATTACAGCTGCTGTTTTCATTAAGATTTTACATTCAGTTACAACAACAGCCTGATTTGGAGAAATAAAGAAAAAAAAAGCGACATCATCATCATCTTCATTGACAGACTCAAAGTCCGTTAGAAAACAAACACGAGGTAAAAAAGACAAACACACAGACAAAACACTAGCAAATATTCATAACACACATATTTTCTTTTCAATCACAGAGAAGATAAAATGTGAAAATATGTTTTCACAATGAGACTCAGAAGAAAGACCGAAATATGACAATAAGCGAAAAACAAGACATTCAAATACTAAAAATATAAATAACCTCAAATTTTGAATGTTATGATGTAATCTGCTCTTCACATCTTCATGTGTTATAGAGCTCTGAAGTTGCTGACCACAGAGTCTTACTGTCTCATTGGACACAGGTTCACCTCTGTCCTCCATCACTGTCCTTTCAATACTCAAATCATATTTAATTTGTGTTTTCCTTTTTGAAAAGGGAATTTGCTTCTTGTTTTCCAATTCTGCAATTTAAGCTTAGAAGCTTAGTTATGTATCACAGCTTTGGTGTATGGTAGTATCTCACCCAGAGAAAGAAACACACATCCAGAAATCATCTTAACTCATACACTGTGATAGCACAGAGGGAACTCCTTAGGATCTATAAAGACAAAAGTCACAGAATGTGCAGCGCTCGTGGGACATAGACCCACATACACACACACACACAGTGCTGATTAGACAAGATACAATCCATATAAACAAAAATATCTCAGTGCTGTCATTTTCCAAAGCAACCGATAACCAGCATCATGTTTCATACTGCTCAACTTTGTGCTAATATTAGGCTGAAAAATGGACTGATTAGTTTATGGATACAAATTCAAGCCCAATAGTTTAATGTTACGTAAAATGGTTTACCATCCATGAATGATTTTACCAAGGTTAACCACTGAAGCAGAATTAAATAAAAACAATTGTAGCACTTGATCTTCTGAGATCAATATTTTAAAATGTGGAAAATTGCATTAAGACATTCATAAATTATTTGTTAAAAATGTTATTAAAGCTATAAGCACTTTGTGTTAAAGCTGCCAGTTGGTTTATTTTATCACTTTGATAGCGCTGTGCTAGCGCCTGCACCCGGGATTGCAGAATTTTGGTGAAGCATTTTTATCGGCTTATTGTTGTCATCTGACCAATAATAGATTTCCACAGAAAACAAACTCAAAACGTTAGTATAAAAAATATGAACACATTTCTTACCTTATGTTGTTGGCTACTTACTTAAAAGGTAAAATATTATACTTCTTTTCAAAAAGTTTAAATAAGTTTCAGAAACCCCTTAAAACGTGTGTGAAGTTTCTTGTTCTAAATCCACTCTGATCCTGTATTTGATCATGTCTATAAACCCCTCTATTTCAGCCCTGCTCAGAACAGGCTGTTTCTGTGTCTGTACCTTTAAATATGTAAATGAGCTGTGTCTGACCACGCCCCCTCTCTGGAAGGGCTTGGGTGTCTGGGTCTTTCTCACTCCATCCCTCATTGTTTACAGTGAGAAGGCAGACTCAGAGGGCAGAACAAACACCTAGCTGTGGGAGTGTCACCCCCCTGGTGGAGGGGTTACTGCCCTTTGTGATGTCATGAAGGGAAAATCTCCAAACAGCCTGTTTGAGCACACATTTTCTGAAAAGTGGAGCAGGCAGAAGACGGAGAGGATGGACTTTTCTCATCATTGTTTTTTTTTTATGGACTAGGGACACATATTAGTGTTAGAACGTGTAACTTGCATAATATGGGATCTTTAACAGTACAATCAAGACAAACCTAACTCTGTTATCAAACACACCTTTAAGGCTAAGCCAGCTTTTGGTTAAACATCTCGAACCTGTAAAGCAGACAGGATGTTATTTCTTGCTGATTGTTTCGTGTCAGCCTGGTGGTACAGGCTAAACAAAGGCTGCCATAATGCTTAAAAACTTCTCTTGTTCAGTGGTAGAAAAGGAAGTGCATTTTTGGTGTAGAGCCCTGAGGCTTTTGTGTGAACACTACATTGTTATTTGTAAAGCCAGTAAAAACCAGTCTGACACACGTGTCTCTCTCTCTGAGTTGTAATATGTTAATGTAAATTAAACCCACATTAAAACTCAGACATTTTGGCACCTAGACCGATTCACTTATAGGAAAACATATCAAATTAACATTAGCATCCTGTTTGATGCATGTTGGTGAAAGAGCTGCACGGTTAACATATCTGTTGTTTATGGTGTGATTAGTTCAATACCTGAACTTAGCTTCTAACTTCTGAACACCCTACTGTTCAACATAAAAAAACAGGGACATCTGCTGGTTAATAAGGATACTGCATTTAAAGCTTTTCTAATAAGCAACTGAGGGCCTGATTCACTGAGAATGGATTGAGGCTGCTAAAAGCTCAAAGAATTGTGCATCATTTGCTCTCCGGTGCTCTCATGATAGTCAGTCACAAACATGCCCAAAGGCTGTCCTGCTCCGTGCAGTTTGTTTTTGTGTTTGGTGTCTGAATGTGGAGAGAAGCCGTCCGCACCTTGTCTCTGCAGGCAGCTGCCCTCTCAGGCTGACAAAACTCAGTCCTGACAACTAAAGATGATGAGTGAGGAGGAGAGGGGAAACTTTTTTAGGTTTTATGTTGATGCTAGACACAACATCTAGGTCCCTCTGAACCTTTGTCGAGTGTGTTCTCAAACACTTTCCCCACCATGATCTTGTAAGCGACGTGGGTGTATGTGCAGGAATAAATCAGTCCAAACACGTTCTGGGTCTTTCTCATAACTTTAGTCAGCTTCTCCGACGCACGGTACGTTTCACAACTTCCCTTCTTCTCCTCCTTTCTCTCCCCTCACTACACAGCTCACTCCTGCCTGAACAGCACCCGCTAGGTGGCCTACCTAATAACAGGATATTAACATTACTCAAAACACTGGAACCAACATTATAGCAATCATTTAAGAACATACTAAAGTTATGTCTGCATAGAGAAAGAACATAATAAACATATGTTTCTAACTTATTTGCATATCCCATTTTCACTCTTACAATCTTAAGTAGCCAATGCTGCACCTACTCTGTGTCCTCAGGTGTGAGACATTTAATCTGATTACAAGTGTCTCTCAGTCATCAGCAGTAACATGTGCAGAGTCACTCACCCCAATAATATACATACAGAAATAAACCAATCAATAAGACTCTAACACACTCTTAGATAATAACATACGATAGAATCTCATCATTTCAACTGTTAGGGGATAACGTTTGTAGAGTAACAATCAAGTATACCTCCCTTCTGTTGAGAATATGGTCAATATTATCACCGCTCTCTCTCTGGCAGTGTTACCTTTTTGATGGTGGAGCAAGCAACGAAAACTTGAAAAAAATAAAAAACTTGCTACCTCTTACTTAACAGCTCCAGTCTCCACATATGTGGACTGATTTAATAGCTGGGTATATTCATAACAGTAATGTCAAAGTAATATTTACAGACCTTTATTTAAGGATTATTTATTTTTATTTATTATAAATTGGGTGTACCCTGCTACTCGCCCAATGGCAGCTGGGATCGGCTCCAGCCCCTCGTGACCCCTAATGGGAAAAGCTGTATAGATAATGGATGGATGTATTGTACTGTAATGTTTGTGCGTGACGTCTCTTGTGATTAGTACGGCGCAGTTACCACCAACTCCCAACAGACACATTTTGCTTCACACTGACTTTGCTTTGATGTTTGCGCCTATTTCTGTGAATTAGACGCTTTTTGCAGTGCGGCTTATCTGCATAGAAAGGAGCTGATTTTTCAGCACATTTGATTATGTGCAAACTGTACCATCGCACAGAAAAGCTGTTTGCTCTGCGGCGCCTTTAGGGGAGCTTTTAAACCTTTTGCATGTTTTTTTTGTGTTTCTTTGAGTCATTGCACAGGTTTAGTGGTTGCAGAAGCCGTGCAATCCTTCTGTGAATGAGGCCCCAATTATCTAACTATGAGAGTTGTGTGAGCGTATGGTGCTGCAGTATGATTTCTTTCTATTGTATTTTACGACTATGAGTTTCTGTGCACCCCTGATGTGTTTTAAATTCAGTTTGTTCTGCATGGTGCCTTAAAAAGCTCTCTTTTTGTGCACTTTGTGAGATTGCAGTAACATTTGCAAAGCATCACAATTATCTATGGCATTATGATGACATTTAAGATAGCAATAAACCTTTGAATCATAATTACAATTTGCTAAATCAAAACATAGCCTACAGTTTTTAGGAAAAAGTCGGGTTAATTGAGTGTGTGCAGTGAACACAGAAACACTTGGTGGTTAGTCTGACTCCAGAGTCCAACAGACAGCTCAGCAATACTGAGACATTGTGATGAAGGACCAAGCTGTGTCTGCCCTTTCTGTACTCTTACACAATGTGGAAAAAAAAAGAGCACAGTAAGTTTATTGTAAAGAGAAACAGAGTCGAGGGAGGAAGACAGATCTTACAACCAGCAGAGATTTATAGCATACATCATGCCGCATGGTGTGCAGAGCCAGTCAGTGTTCGTGTGTGTGTGAGAGAGATTTACTTTATGTGTCTATGATGACGGGAAAAACTTCCTGACACAGAATAAATCATTAAAGATACAGTCAAAGGGACCTGGCAGTATTTTACTGAGTCCAACTCTTTAAATTAAAGTGATAGTTTGACTTTATTGATGTTTTCCAGTTTGTGTGTAGCTTGGGGCCCTACTGGTCCAGGACCCCAAGCAGTTACCCACCTTGCCTGTTGACGAGCAGCGCCTCTGAGCAGTTCGAGCTGTCAATCTTTCTGATCAATTCAATTCAATTCAATTCAATTTATTTTGTATAGCGTCAACTCATAACAAGTGTTATCTCAAGACACTTTACAAAAAGCAGGTAAAATACCTTACTCTTTGTCTGTTAACATTACAAAAGAGCAGGTAAAAAGACCTTACTCATTGTTATGTTACAAAAAGCAGGTAAAAGACCTTACTTATTGTTGGGGGTGGGGTTGATCAGTGGATGACACACTTGCAGACAGTTTAAAAAGCTACACTGTCTTGTTCCTCACAGTGCGAACATACATACAACTGCCTGTTCTTTTAGATTAAATGTTCTTACACCCTGGTTTGTCACAGATTATCTGTGTGTATTCGCTTGCGTCATTCATAACATCCATGACGTTCACATCAGCTGCTTAAGACTGCTGGAAAGTAGATGAAGGGTGCCACAAAGCTAACACTGATTACAGATTAAAACCCTGACCGGAACCTCGGCACACTTTGGTGTTGGATTTCCCCAAAAAGACCCTTGGAGTTGGTTTACAGTCCTCACCATGTCATGCGCACCCACAGCACACTGTTCTTCTTATGAACTGCTCTTCAGTGATCTCTGAACCACTTTATGGCCTTGGGTTTCTTCGGGGCAATAAAGACAACAGTGTTATCTATTGTGATAACATATCAAACATATTAAACTGAGACTGCTGCATGACAACCAGAGGCAAGAGACACAGAACTGAGGAGCAGCACAGAAGGAAAGTCCTTCATGTTTCTCTGTGCTGCTTTGTCTTTTCTAAGGGCTGCAAAGGCTGAGTGCAACAATGTGCAACACAAGGCCTTGATCTGTCTGACAAAAACCTTCGACCCACAATGCTTTGTAAATAGGCAGCATTAGACCATATCATCAAAATTTAAGAAGAGGAGAGTCAGATCCATATATCTGCGGTGGCTGTGACACAGTGCAATAAAAACCCAGCAGGAATGCTTCTTTATGACCTATAAAAGCAAAGAAGACTTATTTATAAAATTCAGATTTTTTTGTGTAAATGACTGTAGCGACTGTTGACAGGTAGGTGTCCAATGAAGTTAGTCACAGCAGACTGCGGAAACAGACTTTCTTTACATTTCTACACAGAAAGAATCACAGTGAGCGATATGAGTGACTGTTTAAAGATCTTCTATCAGACAAAAACACCATCTGCAGAAGATCTGAAAAGAGTTAAAGTAAGAATGTGTGACTTTTTGATCCAGTAGGTGTCGCCCTTGAGCACCAACATTAAACCAAAACAAATGTTCTAATTCATAACTCCACTCGTGGTTCACACAAAGGAGTTGTGAATTAGAACGTACCATAATTAATCACCATTAAGCGCAAGCAGCGGAGAGAATTGTTCTTGGCTTGAGCTGCAATTGCCTGTGTCTTGCATTGTTGTGTTAGCAGGCTAAAGTTAGCACAATTTAGTTAGCGCGTAGCTTCATAATGCATGTAAATTGACACAGAATGACCGTGATCTAAAAACACTTCCTTGACATCCAAATAAGCAGAGAGTATAGTATTCTTCTTTTCTCTAGTCCTTGACTAAAACAGCTTTTATACACAAGGCCGTTCCATCCATGTAAACATGATGTAAACCCAGCCTGACAACAATACATCCAGCTGGACTCGAGCTTCTCACTCATTGACTCAGAGAGACATATACAGAGGATACACTTCTGTCGCACATTCTGCCTTTAAGAAGTTCAGTTTTGTCCACAAGGGGCGCCAAACTGGATGGAAAACCAAAAGCTCCTCACATGAGCTTTAAAATAAACATTTAGATCCATAAAATCATCACTGCCAGATTAACCTGAGAATAAATGGCGATAACTCTGGGAGGTATACAATCATAACAAAGAGCTCTTCTTTTGCTCTGTTATTATCATTCCTGACAGGATGAGATGAACTTGTTCTTTAGCTTGATGTTATTCCAAAGTGGAGGTTCTGGAGAAACAAGTCAGAATTCATGTTAATATGTCAGCATTTCTGAAGCTCACAACATATGACCGCCTTCTAGCTTTTAATTAGTTGTGCTTCTTTTTTTACAGAACCATCTGAAATGACTTTTAACAGGCAAAATAATGAGTCTCACTTCACATGCATGTCTTAATGCAAGTCGGCGGTCAGTAAGAGGAGATTCTGTCTCCATTTGGCCAAAACTTTTCTTGGACTTTTAGCCAGCTAAAGTGGAGATACAGATATTCAGTGAAGTGCTACTGAAATCCACAGTCTGAATATCCCACAGAGGGATTTGAGGGACGTGTCTGCAAACACTTCTGTGAATTAAAACACAGGAACCACAGTCGATCACTACCACAGCTGTTTCAACACAAAGTAGAGTACCTGCTGCCTCCTGCTGTTCAGTCACTTGTATGCATCTCACAGTATGGCTGTGTTTTCTTCTTCTCTGTATCCCTCCAGGAGACGAGGGTCAGGGAGAGTCCAGTCCATTCATCAACTCAGACAGTGACGGAGATTATTATTATGAAGGCAAGAACATGGCCCTGTTTGAGGTGAGACATCCGCCATGTTTAACAAATGTCAACTTATACATTTGATAGAAAAAAATAGTATTTTTGTTTGTTGATGTGGTTACAGCAAATGTTTTATATCTGCTGAATGGTAAAGGGAGGTTATCATGTACATTGTCAAAAGTTGCAACCATAAAAGTGAAAGTACTGTTTTAACCACGTATAGCAAGACAATTTTGCAAAGAGTTTGAGAATAATTTTAATGTTTAATATTTCTACATTTTTAAATAATATTTCCAAAAAAAACAAAGTCGGAAAGAACTTGACAAATTAAAATGAATAATTGGTAGAATATGAGGTTGAGAGAGAGAGAGAGAGAGAGAGAGAGAGAGAGAGAGAGAGAGAGAGAGAGAGAGAGAGAGAGAGAGAGAGAGAGAGAGAGAGAGAGAGAGAGAGAGAGAGAGAGAGAGAGAGAATGGAAACACGGGAAAGGAGCCACTGGCCGGATCTGAACCCAGATCGCCCGCCTCAAGAACAACAGCCTCTGTACATGGGGCGCAAACTCGAGGAAACCAGCGCTCTGTCCTCTTTAAGCATTGACTCTTACTTACTTTATGAGATCATAAAGCAAGCAAGGAGAAAATAATGAGCCTCAAATGTCATCAATACAAACAGGGAGTCGATTTAATGAGGCGTAAATCACAGCCATTATCGATTTGTAAGAGTTGGTTAAATTTGCAGATTACATCAGATTCATGTTTCATGTAATAAAGTGCTGAACAAAATGTGAACGTTTGTGTCTGCAGGAGGAAATGGACAGCACCCCTATGGTTTCATCTCTCCTCAACAAGCTGGCTAACTACACCAACTTGACGCAGGGCGTCCGTGAGCACGAGGAGGCTGAGTATGAGGACGGGATCCAGAGGGTCGCTGTCAGGGTACAAAACTCCTTTTCTAATCATTTGTAGCGTGTTTGACCTGTACTGTGGACTTTAAAGCAGTCAGAGTGTTGTGTAGGAGCAGGTTGAGTTAGTAAGAACTGGTCTTTTTATATTTATAAAATGATAAATGTCAATGGTTAACTCTTCAAATTATTTTTAGCAAAAACAACAAAAAGTTTTGCATTCATGAAATAAATCGTTTGCTTTGATCGTTGGAATCACGAGGAGATACAACTCATTCACCTCGATAATGGACTGTATTCAGCCACAGTGATGTTCTACAAGTCTTTGATTTTGTGAGCTTTGCAATGAACCAGCTTGTTGTTGTTTTTGAACATTTTCACAGAGTACAAAAGTTATTCAGTGAAGGCTGAAAGGCTCGAGGATATGTTCACGGGTGATGTGTACAGTTCAGACAAGGTCACTGACATTGGTCCTACATCTCTACTGGATAGCAAATACACTCAATACATAATAATAATAATACATTCCACTTATATAGGGCTTCTCTGAGTATTTAAAGACGCTTAATGACATGGTGGCAGCTTTTGAAGACTCATGGACTTTGTCACGCTGGCTGCACCCTGTGTGTTATGATAAATACATATTGTTGCTGCATTAAGTTCACTGAGTGCAGATGAGCATGCAATGATACTCATTCAGAATCCTCCAAACCGTGGATCTCTGCTTCATGCACATAAACAACCAAACATCTGTCAAAGGATCATTGGCCTAATGTTATCAGCTGACAGATATCAGTAATGCTCTCACTGTTTCCCACAGTTTCCTGCGGTGTATTTATGAGTTACGGGTGGCTAAGCGGCTGCTGGCTTCCCCTGCTTCCAGTCATATTGGATTCTTTGGGATGCATATCAGCTGCAGGCTGCATGCAACTCCACATATCCATTGTGCCTGATAGGAGAGTCACATTGATTTTCTGATATGACGAGTCACCAAAGAGTGTCCAGAGTGTCAAAAGAATTCCTTAAAGATTTTTCTCCTCCCTTTGATGAAGTGTTTGTGCAAACTGATTCCCCCTGTGATGTAGCAACCAACACATGCTACACAAACTAGCATCGTAGCACTGCGGTCATATGTTGACCTCCAGCAACAGCTTGAAACAACACAGAAAACAAGAACTTAGCTGTTTTTACATTGCTTTAAAATGCAATTTACATGGAATATGTTGCCATTCATTTGCTCTGATTGAGCCTGCAGACTTTAAATGACTTGTAACCGTTGACATTTTCACCCTCCAAATTTAGCTTCAAGCTGCAGCAACCATGCCCACTCTGCCAAATCCTTCACACTGCCGTGAATGAAATGGTAACGGGGAAGTACTAAATCCTAAAAATACCAGAATCCACCATGTCCAAACAGTCCAAATCAAAGTGATGAGACATGGTGTTACTGCTACATAACATCATAGTGCACACTTACTTTTACAGAGGATTAAGAATATGTTCAGTTGCCTGCTTGGTCGTCCTATTGACACTGAAGATTGAACTGTAGATCTGTGTGGAGGCATTGATGACGTTGCAGCGAGGCCCGCCCCCTGAATGGTAGCTGGAGGAGATCTAAAGCTTGAGACTACAAAAACAAAAAAAAACACACGAGACAGTTAAATCAGAGAGACTGAAGGGGAGCAAAACATAAAGAAACAAAGAGAAATACAGAGGGTCACAAGAGAGAGAGAAGATGTGGGAGATCTGGAAACCACCTTCAGGAGCATCACAGTTTTTAGACAAACTGGGTGCAGCAGAGAAAGGACAGGACAAAGTGTTTGCAACGCGTAAACGGGTACGTACACTTGAACGTTTTGGGAGGAAAGTAGCAGAAGTTTTTTCCATGCATGCTGTAAAATATAATGCATGAGAGAGCCTCTAAAGCTGCCGTGTTGTGCAAACATGTTAGAGGTCTTCTAAAGTTTTGATTTAATCAGAAGTTTTCAATACCTGATTTAGAGTCTAAGACAGGATGATGACGAGACAGTGAGAGTAAGAGTTGTTTGAAATGTCATAATAAACACAAATGTCTACATGATGAAATACTTTCTAAATGTATCCTCTCAAAGGACTGGTGTTCAGATCATTCTTTTTATTTTGCTCAAGCATTTAGCTGAACGTTTGCAGGCCGGACAAAGCTTCACAGAATCCAGGCTAAGTGCCTTTAAAGGATTATTTTATTTTATTTTTACTTTTTTATATCCATGCAAATACTTTTCTCACTGTGAGACCTGTTTGAAGTAAATCCATCGAAAGCATAACAAACAAAAAAATAGCACCTAATTTTATTCTGTGACCATTTGGACCATAAACGTAAAGCCAGCTGTCACCTTTACGAATGTTAAATTCTCGAGAGATTGTTTTAGTTTCACTCTTTAGAGAGATATCTGTGACTTTTGTTTTTGTTTGGGGATCGTTATTTATTTTTCACTTCACCAAAAGTTGCAGCCTTGGCCGACACGCAGCTGATCATTTTCTGTTTTAACGTGGAGTTTAGAAACGTTTAACCTGAAAGGAGAATTCCCTTGTTTTTGTGTTGAGACTAAACATCCTCTTTATAAAAAATAACATCAGACACAGTCACTTTTTTTTTTTAGTTTATTGAGAAACTATTTCCTAAATGCTTGAAATGATTGATTCATTCTCACATGAGTGACACATAAAGAAGTCCCGGGTGTTTATGGTGCAAAAAACAAAAAAAATATTTTAAAAATGAATATATAAATGACAACACAACACAAGATATGTGCAGTATAAAGTCATGTTAATATAAAACTGCATAGTTTTATAAGAGGGGGAGGAGGATGCTAAGGTACAAGAGTATAAAACTAAAGCTGGTGTGTGTGCGAGCTGCTTCAAACTGATCCATTACAAACATGTAGCCTGTAAAGTCAATGAAATGATTTACAGCAAACTGCTCTTTAATATCAGTTTAATAGTTTAAATGTTTAATACAAAACAAAACATATAAGAGAGAACAAATACTTGTGACAGTTTCTAGACATATACAGAAAGTTAACTCTGACCTTTGACCAGGGGTCAAATGTGACCCCTCAGACTTAAACTACATTTAGTGACGATGGTACTGCCCGCTGAACTGACACTTCTATCCTCTTGTGCCTTTGGCTTTTAGACTGTTAGTGTGTGTGTGTGTGTGTGTGTGTGTGTGTGTGTGTGTGTGTGTGTGTGACTTGTAGTAAGAACAGGTTTTATTTTTTTTAACTTCTGTTCAGCACATTGCGTTTACAATTGAACTTAATTAAAATGTAAACCCCAAATCTATTTTTATGAAGCAACAACTTAGATTCACTCAGTTCATCATGAGCTTAGTGAATATCAGAGACTTCCCTCATCACAAAGTCTGCATTTAATCACAGGACACACGTTAATTTCATCACATTACACCAGGGTGTATTGTCCTTCAGAGCATCACATGAGTGGAATTAAATACAGCAATTAATCAGAGAGTCACCAACCTCTCCTTCATTTAAATATAATGTTACAACACTGATGTTGTACCTATCCATGATAACTGAAACTGTGTCATGTGTTAATGGCCAGGATGTCCTATATGTTGGATAAGATTTGTTTTTGTTACCCAAATTGTAGCGTATATATCTTTAATTTTCTATACTAATAAATGTATTATGATTAAATGATACCAAAGAACATCTGGCAAAGGGTCTGCTGATGAAAATGAGCCTTTGGGCTATCTCGGGTACATTCACATCTCTCTGAATTTTGATAAATATAGGCATACACTGTCCCTCTTCAAATAAATAAATTGCTATTTTTATTACTAAATGAGATGTTCATTATTATTATCAATATTGATATCAGTATTGGTAGAGTTACTGCACATTTGTAAACATATAACTTTTTTGTAAGACATGCTTGTATAGCCTAGGAAAGTAGCAGAAATGTAGCGGACTGAAGTTTTGAATTAATTTTATTAAGACACAAAGGAAAGCTCTTCACTTTACAACTGTCCCGGATTTGAAAAAAATGAAAGATCATTAAGGGCTCATATAGTTTTTTGATTTATAAGGGATATTGTAGATTTCAGATATCCTGGCAATGAGGTGTGTACCTGTGCAAAAGTCTCACAGAACACATCGGGGTAATCAAGCAGAAGTCAATATCAAGGACTGGATGTGTTGAATTATAAACCTTCCCTCTCATCAGGTTGATTCTCACCTGAGGTTGTCTGTCATGTTCTTCCTTCCACAGGTCCCTCAGATGGGCACCTTCATTGGAGTCTACCTGCCCTGCATGCAGAACATCCTGGGTGTGATTCTCTTCCTGCGTCTCACCTGGATCGTCGGCACGGCAGGGATCCTCGGGTCTTTCGCCATCGTGTCCATGTGCTGCATCTGCGTGAGTCAAGATGAAATCCAGCAGTGATCATGTTTCATTCCTGCTGGAAGAAAACAGATTTCTAACAGAGTGTATTTTTGATGCATCTTCTCGCTTTTATCAAGATGTGACAAAGTAACACCAGTGAGTCTTTATCATTGTCTGAATGAAACAATAACATGTCTGAGATTAGTGAGCTTTACACCCTGCTCTGGATTTATGGTATCGAATAAATGACGACTTTAATCTCCATTTCTGAGCTCAGCCCAGAGTCCTCAAATCAGGCAGAAAATTCAATTTATTTACAACCACGGCTTTTACGTCAGCAGCTCCACGTGGACAAACAGAGAGCCGACTGTTTAGGAAGTTTGAACCAAATTGTTCAGCACTCATGTGATGTAAGGGGAATAATCTGCAGCCCCCCCCCATCTCACCCCCATTTAAAATGTGTTCTTATTTTGTGATCAGTGTTTTCATGTCTTTGATTAAATTACTGTGTTTATTAAAATTATTTGTATTGACCAATTTGATCAGATAGTTGAATGTTCCATTTTGTTCTGCAAATTTCTCACTTATATCCCTCATGTCTCTCTCTCCATGCAGACTTTGCTCACGGCCATATCAATGAGCGCTATCGCTACTAACGGAGTTGTCCCAGGTGATGAAACATTTCACTGTTTTATTTCTCCTTTCCACGAGCAGTTTTTAAAGCTCCTGCGAAGAGTTTTTAGCTGGTTATGAAACGGACTGAAGATGATACCGTTGCCTCTATTTGACCTACAAAAGCAAACAAAAACTTTGATGGCAAGATGTATCGTTTCTATATTGATCTATGTTGATATCTAATGACTGAAACTGCTGCTGGAGGGTGTCAGACGACAAAGTGATTTTCTTTACGACATCAAAACAACTCCTTTTGACTTTTCCTCAGCAAAAAACTAAGAGTGAAAAAGGGAGCAGGGTGAGTTTGTTTTTGGGGTAATACTTCAAATTAAGATCACAATATTCAATATTAACAAGTTGCTTAATAGCATGTGTATCATTATTAAGCACCTTATTCTACATGAACATAGTCTAGAGCTAACAGGTCAGTAACTAAGAGTTTTCCCTCCTTGCTTATTGATAAGAAGTCTGGAAGTTGTTGAACATGAATCATGATCTTAATTTTCTTTTGCTTACTTCCATACTAAGAAAAGCATATTAAGATCATAACTCATGTTCAACAACTTGCTGAGTCATTTACAATATGGTACTAATAGGCTAATAATAATGACTAAGAGACAAAAGGCATCACAATGGTAAAAGTTCTCACAGGAGCTTTAAATCAAAAGTAAAAAAAACACAGTTGCAACGTTAGCAACATACAGTGTTTTTGTTTTTTTCATTAACACACACTGTCAGTAGAGTATGTGATGTTTCATAGATATATAACTGTGATAGCAGAGTGACACTTGAATGAATAAGAAAATCTTACATATACATCGAAGTCAAACTCCCTCTGGGTTTGTTGTTCTCAGCTCTGTGGTCACGCCGGAAAAAAAAGTATGTGTCATGTCTTCACTTCTGCACAAAAAAATGCAAATTGAATATAAAATTGTTCATGGCTACGCAATCCAAGGTAGCATATTACAAATGTAATATGAATGTAGAAACCCTAAGAAGAACCTCCCTAGTGTCCATGATAATCTCCCCACTGAGCAGGAACCAGCTACTGAATATATTAGCTCTCTTTTATCATCTAGGGTAAGGTTTTGGGTAGGGTTAGGACTGCTATTTGGCTGCCCAAGACATGCGAGGATAAGTGACACCAGGACCAAGCTAGTGGTGCAACAAGAGGATGTTGTACTGTAGTTATATTGTATTACTAACCATTATTTAATTTCTCAAAAGCTGGTGGCTCGTACTACATGATCTCCAGATCTCTGGGTCCAGAGTTTGGAGGGGCGGTGGGTCTCTGCTTCTACCTGGGGACCACCTTCGCTGGATCCCTGTACATCCTGGGCACCATGGAGATCCTGCTGGTACGTGTTGGTACTGTCCGACAAGAAGACAGACACAACAGTCTTCACTTTCAATGACACTCCCCCTCCTTGTGTCTCTCGTTTGCCAGTTGTACATCGTTCCCACAGCAACGGTGTTCAAGGAAGGCGAAGACGAGGCGAGGCTCAATAACATGCGAGTGTATGGGACATGCTGCCTGCTCCTGATGGCTCTGGTGGTGTTTGTCGGTGTAAAGTAAGTATCCAGAAATACACAAAAAAAAAACAAATATCAACTAGCACTGAGAGTCACATGGATTCCCTTCCTTCCTCTCTGCAGGTATGTGAACAAACTGTCTCTGGTGTTTCTGTCCTGTGTGTTTCTGTCCATCATGGCAACGTACGCAGGGGTCATCAAGACGGTCATCGAACCCCCGGAGTTTAAGTGAGTTATCTACAAGAGTTAAGCTATTTTGAATGCTTCTGATCCTGGCTGCAGATTGAGAGAGAGGGAGGAGGAGCTTTTATAGTCAGCCCACAGGTGCAGCAGATCAGAAGTTGATGAATGTATGGCAGTCAGGTAGTGCCTCAAAGAAAACATAACACCAAGGACTAACATGTTTCCAAGCCTCAAAGGCTTTATATATAATTTTTTGATCCAGCAGATGTCGCCAGCATGAAACCAAACAACTCGCGCTGCATTGTTGTGTTAGCATGCTAATGCTAGCGATCTTTATTATGCTTTTATCTTCACACTGCATGTAAATTTACCTGAAATGAGCGTGATCTAGATACACAGTTAAGCAGTGAGTACAGTATGTTATTCTTCTTTTCTCTAGTCCCTCAATTAAACAACTTTTATACACGAGGGGAGGAGCCGGCCAGCCGTCCGGGCGATGTCAACAAAGTGAAGATAGGACTCGGAAAACTCTGAAAGCATCACAGACAGTGGGACTCGGGTGTTACACCCATTGTAGACAGTCATGACTCACAGAGTTATTTTCAGAGGATAGACTTGATTTCTATTATATTTAAGTGTTAAAAATCACATATAAAGACTTTAAGTGTTGTTACTGAAAGAAAAGAAAATCCCTTGTTTCTTGATATTTATGTAAAAGGATGACGAGGATAAATTCTTGCTCTAAGTCGTCTGTATTGATGTCCATGTTTCTAGGACGTGTTCTCATTGCAGGCTCACTTCAACTGATTTAATTAGCTGCTTCAGTTACAATGATGGGTAAGGTTATTATAAAGTCTGACTCTGTGGGGCCTCCTTGTAAGAAAGAAATGGTGCAGCTGAAGCCCCCTTACACCATCTGTAGACAGACTGTATAAAAAAGTAGTCTTTAGTGATGTAACGTACCTGCACTCCTCGGGGTCCTGGAGGGGTGCAGGTCTTGAAGCGATGGTTTACTGCAGCCTATCTCCCTGAGTGATGATACGCTGAAGCCTGCTCTGATCCTTAGCAAGGAAGCGTACCAGAACCATGAAATCATCAGAAACAGCTGTTGATGTTCACAGTGCATCCTGTTTTCTCTTACGTCACAAGAAGATTTTGATTCCCTTTTATACGGTGGCTGGGAAGTGCCAAACAAGATTACAAAGTGTGAAATGTACCAAATGCCAGAAGTGATTCTGTGAGCAGTCAATTAGTTTGTTTTGGCAAAAGGGTCTGTGTGAAATGTGTAACAGCGAGTTTAAGGTCGACCGAATCGCTGGAATTTTTAAAGGACACGGACGAGACGGAAGATCTGGCAGGTGTGTTTGTTCCTCCCGTCTCGTCCGTGTCCTAGAGAGCATCCAGGCGAACAACAAAAGCACATCTCAGGTGGGTTCCACAAAACGGACAAAACATCATTATGTGTTCTGCCACTTGTTCATTTGTCTCAACGCTCTTCAAAGTGTTTCACATCTTGTTCATTTTTTATCTTAAATGCACTTTTTTTTTGTACTTGGCAAAAGCCTCTTCTTTGTGAAAGTGTTTCGCTCTTTGTAATTTGGGTTTGCACTTCCCAAGCCTCCATACTTTTATCCATAGAAAGAATCTGATCTGTCCGGTATAATAGTGGAGTATGCCAATGTTGATCACAGTGCCACCCTAAGCTGTGGCTGCTCGTGTGCTTTTATAGATAGATAGATAGATAGATAGATAGATAGATAGATAGATAGATTGCGAGGGTAATTCAAAGCATCCAGTAGCAGTTTACAAAAGACATGCACGACATGAAACATTTGTTTCAAACAACCGCAGTCCCACCTCCCATACATAAATATTAAGCAGAAACAAAGTTTTCAGTAAGCCCCTACATGAATTAAAATTAAACCTGTGCAATTAAAAAATAGACTAATACAAAGAAAAATGTACATAACCCCATGCAGGAATACAAATATATGTGCAAATTCAGTGGAACCTATAAACAGTTAAGAAACATTGGTAACATTAGACCTGTACATAAAAATAAAAGTGTAGACCTTCTGAAGTTTGTGTTGTTTATGTATGTACAGCAGTGTCTTGAATGAAGGCAGTGAAAAATGTATAAAAACAGACATTAAACAACAGTCAGTGCAAACATTAAAGGTGCAGATAATATGATTGTCCAATAGGCACTAAAGTGTCCAACTATGGGCTGACTTCTTAGTACAGCTGTGCAGATGAGGAATGAAAAGAGTGAAAATGTAGTCCAAGAGTCACAGTCTGTGCTTTTCCCCTGCCATAACAGTGTTAAAAGAGTTCTTAAGTCTGTCTGTGGAGAGTTGATCATGGAGAGTACAATCTAAAATGTGTAGCTCACTGAATAGAAATGTCATTTTTATTTCAATAGCAGCTGAGGGGGGATTCTGTTTCTTTCACTGTGTTCTTAAAGGACTCTCTGGACGTGCATTAATGAAGAGATGTCAGAGTAAAAACGACCCTACAGAGACAGTATGATCCCTCTCCTGACACTTGTCTTCTCTCCTCCACAGTGTATGTCTGTTAGGAAACAGATCTCTGAGGAATGACAAGTTCGGGATATGTGCAAAGACAGAGGTCGTGAAGAACAACACTCTGACCACCGAGCTGTGGAGCATCTTCTGTGACAGTAAATATCCAAACGCAACCTGTGACCCGTTCTTCACCAACAACAACCTGACAGAGATCAGGGCCATACCTGGGCTCCTGAGCGGAGTCATCAAAGGTGAGAAATAATAAAGAAAAGGATTCTGAGTGTGTGTGTGCGACCTTCAGGCTGTAATATAAACGTATGTTGTTGTTCTCTGTCTGATCTTTCCGTTAGATAACCTGTGGGGCGAGTATGCTCCGGCTAGGGAGCCAATAGAGAAGAAGAGCCTGGTTTCAGAACAGGACCCGGACACGCCCACAGACACATACAAACCCTACGTCTTCAATGACATCGCCACCTACTTCACCCTGCTGGTGGGAATATATTTCCCCTCTGTCACAGGTAGATCTACACCTCACAAAGATTCACATTTTACTCACAAAAAACTCAGGTTTGTGTGTCATGTAGCAGAACGTAATTTGTGTTTGGCGTCTATCGGCTATCACTCCGCACAGATTTTCTTTACATGCAGAAACTTGAGGAGTGATGAGACGACATCTTAAACCCTTCAGTCTGAGCATTCAGGCGGCTGCTGGGGTGGTGGTGAGCCTAAACAGGAGTTAATGGCAGATGATGCTATGTTACATTTCCATCAGTATATACTACTACATTTATACACCGTTGACAAAGCAACGGGAGCAAATAAGTGTCTTGCCCAAGGATATATCGGGCATGTAGCTGCAGGAGCTGGGGATCGAACCCCACCGAGTCCTTTTAAGCAAGATTCTCATTGACTCACTGTTTATGCAAGCTCACTTTGTTTTTAGTTTGACCACAAGTGATAAACAGATGTTTTTTTCTCGCAGTTCAAGCTCAAAAGCAAACATGACATGTTTTTGTTCATTAATCATTGATTTAAATAAATCTACAAACTCTCTGTGAGGAGCTTTTCTGCTTGATCAGCGCCACCTTTCACATTGTTGTAGTCTTACTTTGCCCTTCCTCCACCCCTGACTCTGACTTTAACCTTGTATTTATATTTTTTCTTATTATTGCAGGTATAATGGCCGGTTCTAACAGGTCTGGTGACCTTAGAGATGCTCAGAGGTCCATTCCCATAGGAACCATCATGGCCATTGTCACCACCTCGATCATCTGTATCCTTTCAAATTTAGCTAATACACAGTACAAAATCAAAAAACGTTCCCGAACTTGTAGAGAAGCTAAAAAATGGACTTAACCGCTTCTACTCACTGGTTTGAAAATGCAAAGCAAATACGAAGTGAATGTTTCATCTTAACTTCCCGTCAGACATGTCTTGTGTGGTTTTGTTTGGAGCCTGTATTGAAGGAGTTGTGCTGAGAGACAAGTGAGTGTGTATTTATTAATTTACTCTCTACCCACTGAATTCAAAATGTGGCAGAGAGCTCACTGTAAGAGGTCAGAAGCTTAAAAATGTGTTTTTTAACAGTGTGTAACATAAATGTAGAATTGTATGATCTTCAAGTTGTTTGAAAAAATAGTTTGTAGAGGGCATAAAAGTATCCCATTTATGTTGTTTTAATTGCTGACTTATTAATCTACAGCAAAGCTGTTCGCTCTTTATATCTCAGGCATCACATTACTGCATACTCCTATCGCTCCGGCTAAATTGTGTTGATGTTTGTGCTTGTCTAAGGTTTGGTTACTCAGTGAAGAAGACCCCCGTCATCGGTGTTCTCGCCTGGCCGTCACCCTGGGTGATTGTGATCGGCTCGTTTTTCTCCTGCTGTGGGGCGGGGCTTCAGAGCCTCACCGGCGCTGCCCGGCTGTTGCAGGCAATCGCTCGCGACGGCATCATCCCGTTCTTACAGGTCAGCGTCAGAAAGACCTCGGATTGAAACCTGTGTTCTATTTAAATCTATAATGCTTAAAAAAAACTCAACACCAAACACAAAAGAGATCTGTCATTCGATTTCAAAATGAGATGTTAGGAGTTAAAGCACAGTGAAAGGCATGTCTTATTTTAACTTTAAAGATATAAAGTGAAACACCTGCAGAAAATTAACACGTTCCTTGTATTTTGTACATTTAAAGGAAAGGTAACCAATAAATGTACAAAATACAATTTACGATGTGTTTCTAACACTAATATGAGTCCCTAGTCTGTCTTCAAACCGCCCAATAATGACCTCTCCGTCTTTATCCTGCTCCACTTTTCAAAAAATGTGTGCTCAAACAGGCCGTTTGGAGATTTTCCCTTCATGACATCACAAAGGTCAGTAACCCCTCCCCCAGGTGGGTGACACTCCCACAGCTAAGTGTTTGTTCTGTCCCTTGGGTCTGCCTTATCACCGTTAACATTTGGGCATGGAGCGAGAAAGGCCAGAGACACCCAAGCCCTTCCAGAGAGGGGGCGTGGTCAGACACAGCTCATTTACATATTTAAAGGTACAGACACAGAAACAGTCTGTTCTGAGCAGGGCTGAAATAGAGGGGTTTATAGACATGATCAAATACAGGATCAGAGTGGATTTAGAACAAGACACTTAACAGACGTGTTTTGAGGAGCTCTGAGACTTATTTAAACTGGTTGAAAAGGAGGAGAATATGTTACCTTTAAACAAATAAAGTGTGGTAAGAAAGGATTGCTCGTGACATCTCTTATAAAAACTGTGGTGCAGTTACCACCAACTCTCCACAGGCGGTATTTGCTTCAGGCTAACTGTGCTTAGCTGTTAGAGCTTGTGTTTGTGAATTAGATGTTTCTTTTGCACAAGGCTGATTTCTATAGAAAGAGGGGGAGTTTTTTCTCAAATAACTTCATTACTTATTATTTTTTGATTTATTGGTTTGTTCTGCAGCATTTAACTCTTGACGTGTGTTTAGTGAATTAAGATGTTGCCTTTGTGATTCATTGGCACAGGTTTAACGGTTTCAAAAGCGGCACAATCTTTCTGTGAATCAGGCCCTCAGTGTTTCTAATTTGGCCTAATTCAAGAGACACATCAACACAGTTTGTTCTTAGGCAAGCATTTCAAATTTAAAGTTTTACTCAACTCAAGGCTGAATGTGTTATATGAAATAAGTATAATATGGAGCAGAATCTGGCAGCCACAGTACTGTTAAGCTCATGATTGAACACATTCAGTGTTTGCATTCTTGTTTTAAAACGTGTTCAATGTAATGGAGTACTGTAGCAGACCACTTCTGATTATTTCTGTGTCTCTCAGGTCTTCGGTCATGGGAAGGCTAACGGTGAGCCGACCTGGGCTCTGCTGCTGACTGTAGGTATCTGTGAGATAGGAATCCTCATCGCTTCTCTGGATGCTGTGGCCCCCATCCTCTCCATGTATGTCTTCTCTAGCACTGTAGAAAACCTAACTTTCTAATATCATAACTTGCTTTCAGTCTGGTGTTGCATGTGTTGCCAGAGGGATGGGCAGTGAATCACTTTCCTCCCTCTCTTCTATTATCTTTGCTCAGGTTCTTCCTCATGTGCTACCTGTTTGTGAACCTGGCCTGTGCTGTTCAGACTCTGCTCCGAACCCCCAACTGGAGACCTCGTTTCAAATTCTATCACTGGTAAGAAACCAGCTTCAAACTAAACAAACTCACCTGAACCTTGTGTTAAATGTAAAGTTGCAGCTCTTAAACTTGTGATGATATATCATATGCTGTATTTGTGTCCTGTAGGACTTTATCCTTCTTGGGGATGAGTCTGTGTCTCTCTCTTATGTTCATCTCCTCCTGGTACTACGCCCTGGTTCCCATGGTGATAGCTGGATGTATCTACAAGTACATTGAGTACAGAGGGTGAGTCTGGAGGGTAAAGAGATCCACCTTAAACAGCTCTTAAACCTCAGTTTATTTTAGTATAAAAGCCATTATAACGCGGGTTCTTGGATGACAAAGGAGGAAATCTTATGCCACACAGAGAACATATTTTTTGTTTTGGAGCCTGTTAATGTTGTGCTTGCAGATATGATATCAAACACTTTTCTTCAAACAGTAATGGAGCATATCACGATGCAAGCCACTACATGTAAATGAAACATTAAAATGTCTGATTTGTTCTCAAACATTGTCAAAGACATGAAACTTGTTGCTGTTTTGGCTGCAGGGCCGTGAAGGAATGGGGAGATGGGATCAGAGGATTGTCCTTAAATGCTGCACGCTACGCTCTCATCAGGCTCGAGGAAGTACCGCTACACACCAAGAACTGGAGGTCAGTGTGTGTGTGTGTGTGTGAGTTTAAGAAAAATAGGATCAAAAATGGATCCAGTGGGAGCAAAGATTTCAACTTTTTTCTTTTAGCCTCCGTCAGTTTCATGGTGCCTACACTACCCAGAATGCAACTCAACTTGCCATCTATTCAGTCAGAGTTTCAGGCATGTTCCGCTAGTAATGGCTAGTCAAGCTTTGAGCTGCTACCTTGAAGCTGATTTTTTTCTTACTCCACACCTAAAGATTAGTTTTCGTTTTAACTGGGTGGTTTTAAGTTGAACTGATCTGAAGTGACATCACTCGAGGCATCTCTTCTGAATGCACATATCTCCCTATGGAAGACATTGTCCATTGTTTTCACTGGTAATGCTTTGCACGATCTGCAGACTTTTGTCTGCCTGTTGCAGTCAAAAACTGTTTCTTCACAGTGTTCAGCAGAAGTACTCTCCAATCATACTCTTCCTTATTTTGTACTCTTAATGATTTTGTATAATTCTAAAATAACAATGACTTGTCTTCCTTCAGGCCTCAGCTTCTGGTGTTTTGTAAGCTGAACTCAGACCTGGAGGTCAAACACCCTCGTCTCCTCTCCTTCACCACGCAGCTCAAAGCAGGAAATGGACTGACGATAATCTGTTCAGTGTTAGAGGGGACCTACATGACCCGAGAGAAAGATGCAAAGACTGGAGAGCAGGTTTGTCTAATGGTCCAGTATGTGGCTCTTCCTGTTTCATCCTTGGTTGGAGTCTGCCATCATGCACATTGTGAATTACACATGTCCTTCATAAAATCAAAACGGATGAGTTTAAGACAGTCAGTTTATGTAAACCAGCATCGGTTAGACCCTGTACTTTGCATGCACCCTGATCTCTTATACAGTCATTTATCAAAATCGAAGACGATCCCATCTTATTACAAAAGCAATTCATGGAAGAACTGAAAAATGTTGTGCAGAAGTCATCATGTGTTACAGTTTATGTTTGCTCCTCTGGGTTCCTGCAGAGCTTGAAAGCTGCCATGGTAGCAGAGCGAACAAAGGGTTTCTCCCATATAGTGGTGTCGTCCGACCTGCGAGATGGTTTCTCCCTGCTCATCCAGTCAGCCGGCCTGGGAGGAATGAAGCACAACACCGTCCTGATGGCCTGGCCAGCAGGTTGGAAACAAGCCGGGGACAGCTCTGCAAGGAGGAACTTCATAGGTAAACTACACAAGGGTGTCACAAAGTGTTCCCGGGGTTAGAGTCGCCATGTAATGACCAGCAGATTGCTTTGATCCCAACTTATTATCTCTCCTTTTAAAGCAGAAAGCTAGGCCGGGAATGTAGGGGACATTGATCAGTGTCTACAACAGCCGGTTTCTTGGCACTTATTTGAGAAATTCAAACAAAAACACAGAGACAAACATGAACAGTTTGCTAGTTAGTTAGTTAGCGGACAATTTAAAAGCTTCTCATTGGACACAAAGTGGATATCAACGCTGTTCATCTGACAAGATTCTCGCCTGCTCAATGAATCAGTGACATCATGGGCACCTGGGCATTTTATACTCGCTCATGGGCCACCTAGTGGTGTGTCTTAAAGAAGTATCCACGTCAACTGCCCCAGTGGGTCTGTCCCCGTACATATGGAATATGTAATTCTGTGGAAAGATTGTCGATACGATAGAGACACAAAATTAGTTAGTGCTTCACAGAGCAGGGGGGAGTTATGAAATGTATTTCCAGGGAATTCAAAATTCCTTAGAAGGTGTATCATTTTTATGTATTTATCATCTTTTGTCATTGTTTGGTCCTTGGTGTTAATAAAAACCTAACTTTTTGCTGCTGGTCATTTCATTAATTTAAGGACACAAAGATGTTTTTTTTGGTTTTGCAACAGATAAATGGAAATCATCAACGGAAAAACACACAGGACTAGCTTTGACATTGGTTCTTAACTGGGTCGAGCCCCACCACACCAACTCCTTCATGAAAGCTGTGACCAAACTTTCTGATATTTTTCAGCCAATCAGATTTATTACATGAAACATAATGCACAATTTGGACTCCGCAACCCGCTTTTTGGTCCCGACCCAGCAGTTGAGAACCATTAATCTATCAGACATCAGAGGGAGAAACTTGAAATCCTTACCAATAATTGTTTGGTTATTAAAATTTTTTTTCTCTATTCTCCCTTTTTTGTTCCTGTCCCGCTGCAGAGACGGTAAGAGAGACGACTGCGGCTCATCAGGCTCTGCTGGTCGCGAAGAACATCGACCATTTCCCCAGCAACCAGGAGCGTCAGAAGGAGGGAACCATCGACGTGTGGTGGATCGTACACGATGGTGGACTGCTCATGCTGCTGCCATTTCTGCTCAGTCAGCACAAGGTGTGTGTCCCCTACCTATATTATTTTAATGGTTTTTTTTTTACTTTTTTGTTTTTACTAAATTATAAAAATGTTAAAAGAAAGCATATTAAGACTGATTTAGTGTCAACATCAAATACACAATAAAATGCAAGAAAACATTTAAATAGGAATTAGACCTTAACAGGACAAAAATATGAATCAATGTCAGTATTAACATTTCTAATTTTATGCAAAAAAATATATTTATCCTGAAATATTTGCAATACTTGATCGAAAAATATAAACCCGATATTTTGCTTAAACTTAACAAATAGGACCAAAAGCCCTTTGAAAATTACAGTGGTTTGTCAAGCATGTACTTTACTTTGCCTTAAGGATGTTTTTGTTCATAAATTGTATAATTTATTCTACAGCTTTTTTTCATACTTTCTACAGCTTTTTTACAAACTTTATCGCTGCTTGCACTTTAATAGCTCTTTTCTTTGGTTCAATAGCAGCTGCTATTTGTGTAATGCAATGGATATTCTCTGCCTCTTCTCAGATATGTCCCATCTTTATTTAGTAGTAAAGCATGAGGCTGATTCTCACTCATGTTCCTCTGCAGGTGTGGAGGAAGTGTAAAATGAGAATCTTCACGGTGGCCCAGATGGACGACAACTCCATCCAGATGAAGAAAGACCTCCAGATGTTTCTCTACCATCTACGCCTGGACGCACAGGTGGAGGTCGTGGAGATGGTGAGACTTTTTGCACTTCTGTCATCTACTCTTTTCTCTACTGCGATTCCATGATGAGTCGTGATCCTGATAATAGTCTAGGTTAAGATGCCAAAGAGGCCATAAGCAGCACCATTAGCTACAGTTACTAAACTGAATGATGTTTGTTTGTCCCTCCAGCACGACAGCGACATCTCAGCCTTCACATATGAGAAGACGTTAATGATGGAGCAGAGGTCGCAGATGCTCAAACAGATGCAGCTGTCCCGCACGGAGAGGGAGAGAGAGGTACTGTGCCATGAACATTAGAACATTATAATATTATATAATATTATACAGTATATAACATTATAACATTTTTAACAAAAAAGGTCTATTTCTTTCCATCAGACAGACATTATTTAGACTTACTGTTGTAAAATAGAAACTGTGTACATGTTTAAATCAACAATAATAGAAGGACACTTGGAAGTAAATCAATCAATTTGTATGGGTATACAAGAATAAACAAACATGATGTTAAACCTAAATGTGGCTAGCTGTTAGCTAGTAGTACATCCAGGGTTAGCATTTTGGACCGACTCCTGTCCTCGTGAGTTGGATTGTGGTTTGTTTTACATGACACGTTTTATAAACACTCTTGTTGTTGACACAAATCAACAAGTTGGTCCTGTATTCTTGACCTAACTTTATGCTTTGCGTTTGCTGTTGTTGCCATGGTGATGTTTGTTGTGCCTCCTGCTTCAGTCAGCTTGCTTCCTTATTGGCTATTGTTCCTTTTCACATTACAATACACAGAGTCCGTGCTCGGCCGTCCTCGGTGTTCTCATCGCACAACAGGATTTATGATCGTAAATATTAAATCTGGCGATCCCGATCGTCTTCCAAGCAGATCGAGGAGGTTAAAAACACTCTTAACACACCTCACACCACAATCTGGCAAGATAGTCGGGCCTTTGCTGACTTTGATCAGAAGGGGGGAATCGGGCCCAAAAAAATCGGCCTGAATACCTTGTAGCGCTTAATGAATAAAACATGGTGTGGATGAAGAAACAGCTCAAAGACTTATGCAACACAAGAAAAGGGTGAAGGATCACTCCTTGTGGTCTCTACTTCTGTTGTTGTTGACTTTTCAACTCTCTCTCCCCCCCTTGGCCTTGCTTTGTGATTGGACGGTTGGCTCAGATTCAGAGCATCACAGACGTATCACGCAGCTCCATTAAGAGGAAGAAGTCGTCCAGACTCGGCGCCCCTTCCCTCAACACCCCATGCATACCAGAGGAAGAGGTAGCCATGGCAACCCAAACAGTCTGTAGCAGCCAACTATGATGTCATTCTGTCCCTCCATCTCTCATGCCATCATTCATGCATCTTCATCCATTCATAACAACTGCACAGCTCGGGCGGTGCTGTTAACAAAACCCTCCATTCACTGAGTGCTCCACGCTGAAGACGCAGGGACCAAAAGCTGCCACTAGAGGGAGACAATTTCAGAGATTTTCACAGTCCCTCATGCAAATTTGTCTGCTCTTTTCTGCGGGGACGACACAAATTATTGGATGGAAACTTAACATGAAAGAAATTGTTTTGGATCATCATTAATAGATCACAGGGTCTGGTTTGCAGGGTTGTTCCAGGGCGGTGACTCAGGCTGGCATAAACCCTCTTGAAATCTGATCAGCCAACTCAAGTTGATATTTTTTATACAAAACGACATGCCACACCTGCAGAAGTCAGTGCACTTCATGGGCTGCCCCAGTCAAAGTAGTCTGGACAGGCACCTGCTCTCCAGATCTCCATCCTGTTGTTTCCAGTGGTTGATGGGAGGTTCAAACATGCATGATTTTTTTGGTCAGCATGCAGTGAAGTGAACATGTTTGACAAGTAGTACAGTTTCTGACATGGAGGAATGCTTTTGTCCACTAATCACTATGTAAGCAATGATTTGGTCGACATTACGTTTCATACTAGATAGCAGCATCATACAAAATAACTGTTCAGCTAAATATACCGCTGTCTGGATCATCATCAAACTTTAGACTTGGTTTATTTCTACAACACTTTTTGAAGTGGTTTATTATACAAAATAAAGGTTAGAGTGAAAGTGAAGTTAGCACATCTCAAGCCTCAGCTGTATGGGACCTCTTCAAGGGGAAAGAGATATAAGAGTAAAGACCCTTTTCAACCAAAGGTGAACTTAAATGTGTTAGGGATTTCTCTTCAAGGAACTAAAAGGTTCCTGTGGCACATAGTTGACAGCATTTCCACCGCTGCCTGAAGATGATGCAAATCAGGCTGTCTGGCATTGCAAACGGATTCACTGATTGACAATGGAAAAGAGACGAGTGCTGTGTTTAGTGTTTCATTAAAGAAGTAAATGAAAATGTTAGAAGAACTTGATACCTCACTCCCCGATTTCATCCAAAGCCAAGGAAACACTAGATAATAAACGATATTAACCCACAAGTCCCGGGGGATTTTGGTTTTTAGCCATATATTCAGCATTTTATCAGAAATAGTAATTAATAAGTAGCCCGGGAGGTTCATGTGTCTCCTTTCAAAAAGGACATGTGGGAGGTTCATGTGTCTCCTTTCAAAAAGGACATGTGGGAGGTTCATGTGTCCGCTGTCAAAGACGACTTGTGGGTCTCGTTTTTCTTTCCATGCATGTGCCATCATCATATTCACCTGACTACGACTTCATCTCAGTGTCTTCTCTTCAGATCATCTCATCATATTTTACGTCTCTCATAAATGTAAATGAATGACATGTATGCAAGATGTTCATGTTTGGGATGTTGCTCTGTGGTTAATATTTCCACTTGAGTTGAAATTCAGAGTTTTGATTCTTTTCATCTCCTGCCCCTTCCTCGTTCAGGCCCAGCTGATCCACGACAGAAACACGGCGTCTCATTCTACAAACGAAAAGGCTGCAGGTGCCCCGCCTGACAAAGTGCACATGACGTGGACCAAAGAAAAACTGATTCACGAGAAGAACAAACACAGAGAAGGCATGGGGGTTAAAGACATGTTCAATATGAAACCGTAAGTACACCTCATTTCGTTACTCTATACTTATATATATATATATATATATATATATGTATATGTGTAATGACAATAAAGTTAAATTTCATCTCATCTCATCTTAAAGAGACAGTGCCTTATTTAACCTGAACCCCTCAAATGTTAACATTAAGACTTTTATTTTTAAAACACAAAGCAAAGTAATATGAGGGATATGAACTGTATTATCATTCAATGTATTTATTCTTATGTGTTAATTATATCATCATAGATATATGTATTGTATCTGCTGAAATTGTACTTATTCATCCACAGTAAGTGAAAACATAAGATTTAAAGCTGCTTGATGATTGGTCATATCATACTATTCACTGATCAAAGACTCTCGCCATGTTTGCAGGCTTGTGTATTTGGGACACTATTTGTATATTAGTATTAAATAATATAGGAAAGAAGGGCTTATTTTGGATATCTTACTTCTGCAGTACCCAGATTAGAAGTTTAAAGGTCACATATTATGCTCAGCTTTGACAAGTTTAAATAAGTCTCAGAGCTCCCCAAAACATGTGTGTGAAGTTTCTTGTTCTAAATCCACTCTGATCCTGTATTTGATCATGCCTATAAACCCCTCTATTTCAGACCTGCTCAGAACAGGCTGTTTCTGTGTCTGTACCTTTAAATATGTAAATGAGCTGTGTCTGACCATGCCCCCTCTCTGGAAGAGCTTGGGTGGCTCTGGCTTTCTCGCTCCATGTCCTATTGTTTAAGGTGAGAAGGCAGACTCAGAGGGCAGAACAAACACCTAGCTGTGGGAGTGACACCCACCTGGGGGAGGGGTTACTGCCCTTTGTGATGTCACAAAGTCTCAAAACCGCCTGTTTGAGCACACATTTTCTGAAAAGTGGAGCAGGCAAAAGAAAGAGAGGATGGACTTTCCTCATAATTTGTAGACAGACTAAGGACACATATTAGTGTTGGTTAGCATGACACAGTGTATTATTCATAATAGGTGACCTTTAAAAAAACAGACATAAGAAGGTCAGATGGTAAAAACTATCTGAAGTAGCTGATGAAGTCAGAGAGGGACAGCTGCTGTTGATACTGTGTTAATCAATTTGTTCTTTTTTGCTCTGTTCCTCTAGTGAGTGGGAGAACCTGTAAGTCCAAGTCATTTCACTCTTTGTTTGCATTGTGCATGAACGCTCTCTGTGCATGTGTGATTCTCCTCTGTGTTGCACGCTTGTGTCGATCACAAGTTCTGCTTGCATTAGTGCATGATGCCCAATAAACATGAGAATCCTCGATCACAGCGCCTCTGCTTCCTCTATATCGCTGATTTAAAGTCTCATACTGAAAAATGCCCTCTTGACTGTGTAAGGAATGAAAAGATAACACGTGTTCTGTGGTTTGATGTAGTAACCAGTCCAACGTACGGAGGATGCACACGGCCGTCAAGCTGAACGAAGTGGTGGTCAAGAATTCACAGAATTCACAGCTGGTCCTGCTCAACATGCCAGGCCCTCCGAGCAACAAGAAAGGACATGAGAACTGTATCCTTTTTATCAGCTAATGAGACTTAGACTATTGTCTAAGATTTGAGAAATAAGTGCATCACTTTTTGCCAGGAGGAGAGAAATGAGAGAAAATCTGAACTACAAAAATGTATTTAAGGAAGCTTCACAGTATGCATGAAGCAGTTATTCAGATCGATATTGAGATCACGATAACTCGATTACTCAATGGTTTTACAACATCTACATCACACTTCATGTGGGAGTCATGTGGGATCATCAACATTTTGGTTTTTGTACTCATCACACAAATGAGGCACACAATGTTTTTAGTGAGTTTCAGAGGTCACAGTATAGGTTGATACAGTTCCTGCGGGCAGTAGCTTTATATTTAGAAGATAAAAGGGTGGTCTTGATCCTCTCATAATATGCCAGCCATTGAGCCTGTGAAATAAATGTATTTACAGAATCAAGCACAACATATTCTAAGTACAGGTTCAAAGTAACGTCATTGCAGCAGTTTCAAAACTGCAAATGAATGCAGATAAATCTGAAGATACTCGCCTGTGTTGCTCTTATAAACAGTGTGACCTTAACCAGAGCGCTTCTCTCAGACATGGAGTTCCTGGAGGTCTTGATGGAAGGCCTGGACCGTGTCCTGTTGGTCCGTGGAGGAGGACGGGAGGTCATCACCATCTACTCCTAGCACCGTTGGGTCCTAAAGTATTTTTCAAGAACACTGGAAGGGAACATTGTTGTCCTGAAGGACCTCAGGGAAAGAGGGGGGAGGGGGGTGGCTTTTGGGGACTTGGATAAAGATGACAGACAGAGCAAGTACTCCAAACCCCCTCTTACACTCTCAGGAGCAAAAAAAGCAACTTCCATTTTTGAGGATGATGCTCACAAAGGAGTTATAGGAAGGACAAAGGAGTTACCTGCAGCAGAGCCTGGTGCATGTTGTGGTGGCGCGGAGGTCTTCTCTACAGCCGTCCTGCAGGGTCCCCTCCACCACACTTTATGAACTGTGTAGCACTAAAACATAAACTGTGTTTTTAAATAGAGATGTCTTTTTAATTCTGCTTACTGTACGGCTTCACAAGCTCCACTGAGAAACGCTAATCATTGCTGACAGTGCCATTTTATATTTCAATGCCATCGATGAATGAGACGCACAGACGCTGGAGTCCTGGGATGAATTAAGCAGACGATCATTCTTGAGTCATAGCAGCCAAAGTCTCTGTTCAGAATCAGGGCACGCTGTCAAACATTGTGAACTACAGATAGTCTTTGACATATTTATATCAATTGTTTCTGATTTATGAGATAATGTTAGTATGATCACAATGAAGAGATAGTGGAAGATTTTTGATACAACCTAAATGATTTCAGCGTTATAGTAAATGTATGTTTTGTCTCTGATTTATTTCCATTTGAATTTGTGTGATTGAGCGATAAGTTTGGTGCATGTGTGATCTCCGTTCTTAACCTGCTGCTGTTTAATAATGAGGAGAACTGAGCAACTTTGAAATATATTCATATTTTCATATTTTTTTAAAGGTTTATTTTTGTGATTGTTTATGCCTTTATTGTAGAGATAGGACAGTGGATAGAGTCAGAAATCAGGGAGATAGAGAATGTGTAATGACATGGGGGAAAGGAGCCACAGGTCGGATTCAAAGCCGGGCCACCTGCCTGGGAGGACTACAGCCTCGACACATGGACCAGCACACCAACCACCAGACCACAAGCACCCTTTAATATTGTCCAGCGTACATAGTTATGTTCACAGTGTTGTGTGTACGTTTAAGAAAAATAAGAGACACACATATTAAAGAAAGACAAACACAATCTGGATCTCTGAGTCTGAAATGTTGAGTTGTTTCATATTGTTTTATAAATTTCCCTGAAGTAACACTGAACATGAGGATAAAACATGAAAACATGTAAAGGAAGTTGCAGATGCTTTTGATTTAAAGGAGCAATCAGTAAGATGTCGACGGAATGAAATCATAAAATGACCTTACTCTGTCATCAGACATTAAGGAAACATGTTATGTTGAAGTGCTGGCGTCACTATGACAACAACACAGCAGCCAGTATGTCCTCCTTCTAACTTTAGATTCTGGTCCTGAATGCTCTGGATTTTATTTGACCCGAGAAGGGAGGCGGTTTTAAGGCACCCCCAAACGGCCGTTTTGGACTCCCCTCGGTTTGACCATTTATCACGGTAAACCAACAGGTGTTGCCGCGATGGAAGTTGGCTTCTGCACTTTTCTAATAAGTTCCATGGGCAGAAACGTGGTAATACTAGGATAGATATTGGAGATGTATTTGAAAAATGGAGAGAGGTTGGAGCACAGAAAGACTTCAATACTGATGCAAACCTGGTTAAACACTGACTCTAAAGAGGAGGGGGCGAGGGGAGACAGCGCTCTTGAATTTAGACTGCAGTACCCATTTTAAACGCTATGTGTCAGAGTTACATATTCCTCTTTAAAGCAACAATCTGTAGGAATTTGGTTTGGTGCACTTTGGTTTGGTGATGGACAGAAATGATCTGTCACTAAACACAGTGCAGTTACACTCAGAGACGACTGCACACAATTTTTTTTATCTCTAAAAAAGCTGTTGAGAGATCGGAAAGAGTTATGCAATTGTTGAATTTGTTTTTATCACATATGTTCTTTTTCGTTTATGATCATTTAATCCATTTATCATTTAATTAATATGTTATATAGTTATTACGACTTTTGTTATTTTTGGCTTTTACATTTCCTGTCAATCCTGCACACACTCACGGTGCCTACCCAAGTGTGCCATACTTTGAGCAAAACCACATAGGAGCTCGTGGGCATATAGCAATTCTGCGAATCTGCCTGGTTCACAGTCTTCAAGCTAAAACCACATATGAACTTAGTATCACCTGTGTTACCTTTATGCATTGACATTAAAACCACATATGAACTTAGTATCACCTGTGTTACCTTTATGCATTGACATTAAAACCACATATGAACTTAGTATCACCTGTGTTACCTTTATGTATTGACATTAAAAGCACATATGAACTTAGTATCACCTGTGGATGTATCACGTTTCTGCAAATCTGCATTGTTCTAAAGGGCTCCACGTCACTCTGACTTTTAAATCCCCATTTTGGGACTTAGACTCTGAGACCGAGATCTTTTAAAACCTCAAGTGTCTACACTCTCGGGTTTAGACTTTTGTATTTGTATTTCTCTTTTACTTTTTACATTTTTATATTTTTACTTTTACTGTTTTGTATTTGCATTTGGAATATCATTTGAATTTTTTTAATACATTTTCAGAAACTTTTTGAAATCATTTTTCGACTGAAATGCATTGTTGTGTTAGCATGCTCATGCTAGCGATCTTTATTATGCTCGTATCTTCACACTGCATGTAAATTTACCTGAAATGAGCGTGATCTAGAAACACAGTTAAGCAGTGAGTACAGTATGTTATTCTTCTTTTCTCTAGTCCCTCAATTAAACAACTTTTATACACGAGGGGAGGAGTCAGCCGCCGTCCCGGCGATGTAAACAAAGTGAAGATAGGACTCTGAAAACTCTGAAAACTTCACAGACAGTGGGACTCGGGTGTTACACCCATTGTAGACAGTCATGACTCACAGAGTTATTTTCAGAGGATACACTTGATTTATATTACATTTAAGTGTGAAAAATCACATATTAAGCCTTTAAAGGAAGAATATGTAGGAATTTGGTTTGGTGCACTTTGGTGCCCACTCAGAGGTGTCTCTGAGTGTACCAGCACAGTCACTAAACACACAGTGTTGTTACAATCAGAGACGACTGCACGCTGTTTTCGTCTCTATTAGAGCAAAAGGGACTATTGGTGATAGAAATCTCACACCACATATGGAGCTTGCTCACATTAATTAGTTTCTTCAGACTTGAATGGAAACTCCCATTACATGACATGCAACATGGAGAGAGTCAAAGAGACAGAAAAGTCTGGAAACATCCCAGGAAGTGTCAAAGGAAATGAAGCTTAAAGACCACTGTGATTTCTCTGATTGCCCTCATTTCATCTCACTGATTGGTAACATATCCCGTTATAGGTCTGCTTAATGTATCAAAATAATGGTTGATCTTCTACTATAACTCCCAGCAGGTGATATGTTCTTGTCAGATGGATTTGGTTCCTGTCTGACCCAGATGAGAGTGGAGCTGTTGTCACCTCTTACATAACTGCTCCATGTTCAGTTTCACAAACATTACATTAATCCTTAAATCATCATTGTCTCCTGGTTTGCAAAAGAACAAAGGCAATCTTGGAGCAGCAGCAGGAAGCTTTTCAGGGGAACTTGGCCTTGGATAAATGGCTTCCTGTTTGTCTCCCAGAGTTGTTAGCTGGGTCAGCACGCACAGAACAACAACATCATCTCGGTCTGATGCTCCGATCTGTGTCTGGACTACAACTCTGCTGCACTGTGTACTGTCTTTGATCATTTTCCTCTGTGCTCAGTTTGAAGTACGGCCTGTTTTGTGGTGTCACAACCCAGCTTTATTGTGTCCCCATTGGGAGTGTTGTCTTGCAAATAAAATTTGCAGAACTTACGAAAAACCAGAGAGGAAAATGATGGGTTCACTGAGAATGCCTTTCTGCAAATGTGGGAGTTTTAACTATCCAGTTTAGAAGGATTTTTACCAGCTTGCTTTTGTTGTGTATGATCAAATAAGCTGATTACAAGTGCAGCATCATATAGAACCACAAGATATGTCGTATTTTTCTTATTTTTTAAGGTCACATTGGTCAGGTATTGGACAAATAACAGTCATTTACATCATGGGGTATTTGTGCATTATAAAGAAAACTGTAAGACCTGTAATTATAAATGACCTGTTGTATGTATGTTTGATTCACTACACCTTTTAGAGCTGCACTCTAACATTGATAACACTATGTACTGTGCTGCCTGTTTGCTTAGAGGCCCGCCGTTTAAAAGGTTTTGTTATAAACCAATAATTCTCATCAGGGTCAGCTGTGGCTCTGTGGTAAAGTCGGTCATCCCTGAATCAGAGAGTAAATCCAGTCATTTCAGTGTCGACAACTCTTGCCGTGTTAGCATTGTTAGTGGGCAGATTAGCAAAGCTGACGTTAGTGTTACAGAGCTGCCTGCATTTCCATAGGCTCTTTAAATGTGAATACAACTGGGGCGCTGATAGGGTAGTGGTTAGTGCACACACCTAATGTACGGAGGCTGTAGCCTTAAGAGCAGGCAGCCTGGGTTCAAATCCGACCTGTGGCTCCTTCCCGGCATGTGGCTCCCCACTCGCTCTCGCTCCAAATACTGACTCTATCTACTGTCCTACCTACGTCTAAATAAAGGCATAAAAAGCCCAAAAATAAAACTATGAAATATATATAAAAACATTTACAGATTTTTCATATTGCTGAACTTCTGCAGCTTTTTCGTTATGTCCATTTTCCGTTAGCAACTGATCTTCTGACTCAGGCCTTCTCCAACAAATATCTTCTTATCAGAGCCGTCATCTTCCCACAGCTTCCACTGACCTTTCCGGAAAATCTTAAGCTGCGGTAAAACAGCATCTTCTTCTTTTTTAGGGGGGAGAAACCGTGTATCTGAGAGTCAGATCTGAGAGAAGAGCTGAGGAGAGAAAACACGGGGGGCTTAGGAGGGGAATGTAAGGCTGAGAAGATGAGGAGGGACAGAAGGGGGGGGGGGAGGAAAGGGAGGAAGCCTTTTCTTTCTCTCAGATCCATTATCATTCCAGCAGCTGATAATAGTGGGGTGTTAACTTCACAACATGGATAATTTCACTGAGACTCCCTCTGACCCGGTCGACCCCTTAAGACTTAAAGTGCATGGGAGAAAAAAAAGCATCAACTGGACCATTTCTGCTGCAAAATGAAAAGTGACAAATAAGTAAGTTTTAATTTGTTTTTATTTCCTAAGCTGACTGAGCCTGTGGCCACATGGACTGATCCTATAATTGCTCTCTCTGGTAGATGTCTGAATTGAATTGTAATCTGCTTTTTTAACACAGGTGTCAGACTGCATAACTCCAAAATGTATGACAGAATGAATCTTGAAATGACGCTGAAAGTAGAGTCAATTTTATTTTCGGAACAGGGCGGGTTAGGGTCAGGGTTAGGGTTAGTTGGTAGAGTTGGTCATCTCCTTACGGGAGGGTTGGGGGTTTGATGCCCAGCTCCTGAAGCCACATGTTCAATGTGTCCTTGGTCAAGACACTTAACCCCAAATTGCCCCCGCTGCTACGTCAGCAGCATATGGCATGAATGTGTATGATTAGGATTAGTTACTTCTGATGGACACTTAACATAGCAGCCTCTACCATCAGTGTGTGATTGGGTGTCAATGTGTAGGTGTTACATTTGCTGTTAAAGCGTTTAAAGTAGTAAGAAGACTTAAGGCCCTGACACAGCAAGGAGATCGTCAGCCATCGGTCCTAGTTGGACCGTCGGTGAGCGGTCGTCGCCCTAGTTTTTGCGGTGTGTCCGGCTCCATCGACCCCCGTCTGCCTTTTTTTTGGCTGATTTGACATTTTGAATCGGCGTCTGCGGTCAGTGAGAGGAATCTCTCTGATTGGCTGTTTGGAGGTTTCATTTAGCTCCAGCTCTCGACACAGCTTCAGGAAAGCCTCTTAAGCATGCCGCTGTAGTATTCATGTTTTCATCCATTAGTGCAGTTTCTCCTTATTCGCTTCTTTTCTTTTTCCACTAAAAGACCAAGGGCTGACAAGGCCATTTTCAACTTTTTATAAAACATTATTCTCAATTAGTAGGCTACCTATAACATGAGTGGTGCATGACAGCAG